CCCAGAATAAAATTGTGCCAAAGTTCCCTCAACCAAAGGACAAGTCTAATGGTGCTCATAGCACACAGAACTGTAGAAATAGATTTTCTCCATCTCATATACAAATGCACAAGTCTTGAAATGAATTCCTCTGAAGGAAATGAGATGGCTAGCAGTTGTATGAGAAACTAATGGGAATTTTAATAAGGTACAAAAAAATTTGCGATGGACACAGCTATTTGATATCTCTTATGCTTCATTCTGAATTTTAAATAATTAATTTTAAAAACCAAACAAACAGTAATTGGGTTTTAATAATTGAGAGAATACTAGATAAGGAAACAATATCCAACAAAGAGCAAAGGAAATTAAGAAGTAATAGAAATAGTCTTAGAAGACCCAGATAACTTGAAATCATATTTCAATGTATTTCATTTTTTCCTCCTGGGACTTCATTCACCCTCAAATCTCAGTCATGTTCTTGCTTAGTTTCTACTCACACAAGACTTCAGCATTTTTATGTACTGCAGCAATACTATAGTAAGTTCTATGACTTGCATTAGTTAATGCTGGAATAGGATGTGGTTGTATTTATTAAGAAATTTATTTATTATCATCTGCCAATGATGTTCATGATCACCTCTGTAAGATGTACAAGTGAATTCAAAGATGTCCTCCTGCAGATTATACCTGTGACAGCTCTTTGAACAGCATACCATTTACCACTGCCAACTCAGTTTTTGATGGGTGGCTGCACAGAAGAGAGAACCTGTATACAAGCAACATGCAGGTATGGGTCAGTTGTTTGTCGACATTGGTTCTCTGTTTACAAGAGTGTTTGACATGGGTGGGCACTGATAGCAGCAATGATCACTGATGTACAAGAACAATTAATTTTCCTTGTCTTGCAAGCTATTTAAAAATATAGGGTTGCATTATATATAAAGACCATGAGATAAAGATCAGTCTACTATCAGCTTTTTTTCATCACACGGAGGTCTGAAAGGGGGCCATGGATTTACAGAATTTGAAAGCCTGAATATTTCTAAATGCATAACGGAATTTCACAAGAGCCTTGCACAGAGAACTCATGAGAGACCTAAAGCAACAAGTCTGAATTCTCTTAGAAAGAATAAAGAAGCACTTCAACTCATGCCAAAAGCCTTTGAAAAAATTGCAGTGCTCTCCCTATCCCTCACTGCCCTATACATTTGTTTATTTAAATGAGTCTAATGTGAGATTCTCAGATATGTGGTATGCCTCTGATATGACTAAGCCAGGGGCAACTGGCTTAGCACAGAAATTGTTAGGAATGTATCTGAAGCCCCCAGCTGAGCAATAAGCCCATTGATGAAGTCTCCAAGCTGCTTGCTGGGAAGGCTTCTGCCCCATAATACTGCCAGTGGTGACCAAAAGGGCTACGTGTTTGCAAGTTTCCAAGGTCTGCAGCACAGTTGAACCCTAACAAGTCACTCAGGCTTCGCAAAGTTTTTAAAAAAGTGCAGCAATATGTTGTTGCTGCTTTATTATAAAGCATAAAAATAACCAAGAGCATTCCTCTCAGTTGTGGGCTAACGCATGGTCTGCTGTGCTGAAAGTCGGCAGGATTATTGTTGGACTGAGTCAACAAGCATGTACAGGCATACAGGTCCCATACAGGTAACAGGGGTCAGATATTGTTACACCTTATCTCCTACAAACCACTGCACAATTTTTATCCTTGGAGTAGTTGTACCTCACAAAGTGGAGTATATCTTGTCCCAAAATATACTACTACAGCTTTGAGCATCAGCAGTTAGAGACCTGTCAGCAAGCAAATCAAAGTCAACTCAGCAGTTAAACTACCTAATCAGCCTCACTGTTTGGTCCTTGTTCTTTTCTCATACCAATGCAAGTCAACTGACTGAGATTATTCCTAATTTTTGCCACTGTTTCTGAGAGAATAATCTATCGTGTTCTTCTCAGGGGATGCCCTGAGTTAGATTCTAGACTGCACAGCACATCCTTGCAACCCAAGAAAAGTCCTCCACTCTGTACAGGGACTTTATTTCCTCTTCCCCTACCAAAAGAGGAGGCAGGAAATCTATTTCCTAGTAGAACACATTGCCGTGAATAATCTAAATTTGTGTAGGACTAAATTGCAGTTCTTGAGAAAGCTAAAAAACCAAATTCCCTTATGGCTTTGATAGAACATATTACAAAGCATTTACAAGGGTCTTTTCCCTGTGATTTATCTCCTTGTTTTGCCAATTGATGGGCAATAGAGAGGACACAGACACCAACAGAGGGAATGGTCTTACTTTACTAGCAGTATTAAGACAACACAAAAACAAAATAATGCATTTAATATGGCAATAAGCTTAGCACGCGCACCGTTTAGGCAACAAACAAACTGAGCAAGGTAATGTATCTAATCATTACTATACAAGAAAAGAATAGTGATTAAAAAAGGTACATCACCAGTTACCCCATTAATACATTACCATCATCCAGACCACTTCATTCGGTGGGGAGCCCTGAGTCACAGCAATGGGGCGGGGAAATCCTACACAGTGCATCTACTTGTAGGTGAGGTCCCCATCTTTGCTGTGAGGGGGTCCATCCACCTTTTATAGGGCCAAATTGGCAAGTCACAGCAAGTTGCATATTTTGTAATGCGGAAACATCTGGTGATAGTCTTCCCGACCACCCAGGGCCAGGGCATGGCCAGAGTCCAGGTCTCACTTGGGCAAGGTCCTCTAAAGGTCCCCAAAATATCTTGCAGACAATCACAATAGTATAGCACAACTTCTCAAGCATCTGGTTTAACAGACAAAATTTGGCAAAAGATTTCTTAAGTATATGGTTTGACATAATAATACTTAGCATAAGCAGTCTAGCTAATCTATGTATAAAGTTCGCCTATTTTTCTATATCAAAAAGGGACAGTACAGGATTCATCTGTAAGTCAGTTCTGGCCTATCTCAGGCCCTAGCACTTCACTCCTGAAATAAAATTTTCAGGTTGTTTGTTAGTATAATTTACAATTGGTCATCTTAACACCTGGCTATCCCAGTTAATCCTATCTAGGAAGCTAAGCCATGCCACATTAAAGAATGTCCTTTGACCTTTGCTGGACAAATAGTTAGGAACTGAGAATCACTCTTCCCCTTTAGGAGTGCTGTTTTTCAAAGACTGATCAAGAGAGAAATGTAAACATTAGCCTGCTCCTCTCCCTCCTATGAATTTGGAAATGCTGATCCTCGCTGCACTACAAGAGTAGCACAATAATTCAGCTGTCACAGAGAGAAGCCAGTCAGCTTCTGCAGGATGCAGAAGGGCTGTTCTGCTCTCCTACCTCATGCTCTGAGAGGAAGCAACAGAGTCAGCAAGTGGAGCCTTTGATGGAAGGTCAGCATTAGCAGATCTTCTTTTCCTATGTTTACTTGAGCGTGTTTTCAGGCAGCCAGGGAGATCACCAACAGCAGAACTCATGAGACCTAAAGACTTGAAGACCTTCTTTTCCCTAGGAAGTGTCCCTCCCTCCTTTGCCACTGCTGCCATGTTCACTACTGGCTGTCAGACATACACCCTATTGAAACAAGATTACAGGAGTAAAAGCATACCCACAACCACCTTGCAAGCTGTTTAGAGTTCTGCAGTGGTGCTGGATCATCACCCTCAGGCATCTCGCTTAGGTCCTTTACTGTTCTTCACTCTATACTGATACTGCTTCAAAAACCTCTCTAAAATGACCCTTTCAGATTTTCATCCTGCCAACATAGCCATCAGAAGCCCTCAGAGCCACACTCACAAGCCCCAGTAAAGTCCAGGATTTATTCTCATTCCTGAGCATGGGTCTCCCAGGTGACTTTAAGCCCCTCTTTTCTTGCCTCATTAGTATTTTCTACCTAGCACACACATTATAAAGCACACAGATACAAATAAGACAAGTTATAATTCTGTTTTCTTGACAAGATGTGCCTTTTAAAGTCTCTTCTGGTAAAAAGCAGAAACAACTACTGCTGGAAAGCAGTTGGAGAGAAATATCAGCAGCAGTACAATGTAAATAATTAACCAAACCATTTTATTAGATTGCATTATGCAGAGAAGAATAAATCATCAGACGAGCATTAAATATTTCATGGAAGTTATTGTAAAACTGAAGAATCAAGTGTCCTTCTCTATCATCTAAGAGCATGGAAAAGTCATCAATACATTTTAGAACTGCCTCTTATCCCCTTTGCAGCACTGAAGGAGATGGATTCTCTTGAATTCTACATGCACTAAGTATTCGACATCCAGATTTCTAGAAGGGGAAGAAAAAAAGGGAAAAAAAAAACTACCAAAAAAAGCCAAACAAACGAGGAGGGGAAAAAAACAAATCACTAAACCACAAACCACCCCCCACAGAGGCCTTTTTATGGCCTCTCAAATTGGGTAGCCAGAAATGGAGGCATATAAAATTGTTAGTAATTTCTGAAAACACTGACTCACTGAGCTAGTAATAAGCAGTTGTGTTGCTGAATGACTATTGAAACAAAAGACATTATTTACCTCCCTCGGTGATACTTATTAGCAATAAATCTATCTTCTAGAGAAAGAAACAAGTCAAAACCCAACCCGACTCCCTAATTATAGTGCTGCCAAATGAACTTTTAATGTGGGATCATCAGAATTAATAAATAGAAAACCATGGAGCTCATCCAGCCATATAACTTGCTCTCCAAATCATTAATTTTTCAGGAACAATGGACATAGTAAGTGTCTTGTGATTTTTGCTAATGATACATTTTCTCTTAACAGGCTGATAAATTCTCAGTACTACCATTGACTTTACAAATCAGAAGATAATTCTTACAACAGAGAGTTCACCCAGAACTGAAAAAGTATATTTCATTATTTATTCAGTTTACATTTAGATATATCTATTTCAAAATACATCTTTTTCAGGTTTGTTTTTTTTTTCACTTGTGCTCATTACCAATAGTAAATCTGCAAAGTTTCAGCATTTTCTGTCAAGCTTTTCCCTCCTTGTCTACCTTTAGCCACTGCTTTTCATCCTACACTGACATTCCAGGTTCTCCTCAGGCCTGATGAAACTAAGGCAGTGCAGTATCTGGAGAAAGAACCACGGTGGATTAGAGCACCACAATTCATAGAATCATAGAATCTGCTGGGTTGGAAGGGACCTCTGAGGTCATCAAGTCCAACCCTTGATCCACTACTGTCATGGTTACTAGACCACGGCACTAAGCGCCACATCCAATCTCATCTTAAAAACCTCTAGGGACAGAGAATCCACCACTTCCCTGGGCAGCCCATTCCAAATTGTCTGCTTTGAAGGAGTAGGTATATGAAGCTCGAAATAACTACTAATCTGAATTGAGATCCTTATGTGCACAGGGCCTGGACAACTTCGACTTCTAATATCCAGTCTACATTGAAGAAAGTCAGTGGAAAAAAGGATTAGAGCTCTGAAAACACAAGAACTTTTTTTGCTAGCAGAGCCTCCACAAAGAAAGTGAGATAAGACCAGAACATTGTATTTCTCAGTTTCTGGCATTGTTTTAGCTTATGTAACACACTAAAGACACTAATATGTCATTTTACTTCAATACTAGGTCAAAACAAAGCAAATTGTGAAAGTTCTCATGGGAATAAAAATTATTTTTAAACAGTAAGAAAAAAATTAGGTTTGACCCCAGAGTAAGAGCTTTATATTTTACTTATTTCCAGAGAACTTTTGATGGTGGGAGAACTTGTGAAATCACTCAATATGCAAAATAATAAACTCTACAAAGGTAAGATGCATGAAGAAGTGATTATTGAGGAAAATTAGTTTAAAACACATTAGCAGTACACACACTTGCATGTAATAAACTTACAGATTCATAGTGCAGATCCTAGCACACAGATAAAACTGTATTGATACAACTCTGTCTTGAAAGCACAAAAAGGAGACATTTCACAGTTTTTCAAAAACCTCAGCAGTTGTGGGGAACCAGAGCCCTTCAGAGGTGGCATCAAAATTCAGGCTTCAAGTTCAGAACCAAGGGGATATAAATACAACAAAGGTTCCTGAAAGTCCAGCTGTCACAAAAACATGAAAAAACTGAAAGTCTCCTCTTCTTAATAATTAAAAGAGTGAACACTTGAGCATAAACTGTTAGTTCAGCAGTTACTGCTCCAGTACACAGCTTCATGGCTGGAACTGGGAGGTACTGGATTCCGAGCCAGAAAGTGCTTCTGACTCACCCCCATTTTAGAAAGGTGTTTGACTGCACCTTGTTTCCAGTTTTTCCTCAGATTCATCAATTTCCAAAGCAAGATACTGATACCAAGAACAGGTTTTATGCGCAGAATTCCTCTCAACAACACCACGATAAAAGGGCAAAGCTTTACACCAAAGTGTTTGGTCTCTCCTTCCCTTTTTCCTAACTAGATCATCCCTATTGCTTTCTACCATCTGATCTTTCCCCCTACAGCCTTTGCAATGCTGAAAAGAAGAATATATTACATTTGCAGTTCATTATAAAGCCTAGTTGCCCCAGTTGTACTGGGAGGGAGTTGGTGTGGTTTTCTTCCCAATTTAAACACAAACAGGCAGCCAGGCACAGCCCAGGCCAGACTATACAACATTATATTTTACCTGAGCTAATGGGCTGTAGCTAGTGCCACATGTGTTTGTAATAGGTCCAGATGCATTCAAACAAAATGCATTTAGGTCTCTGATACTGCTGGTTTAATGAAAGTTGTTAGTCTCACTTCTCCTAAAACAAATTAGTCAAAATGCCATTATTTTATTCAGTATCTAGTCAACCTCTGCTATGCTATAATCAAAATATATCCAGTGAATACCTCTGAAATTTTCATTTTATTTATTTAGTCTGTAAGAGTCTCATCAAGTTCCCCTATATCAAATCCAATAACCTGATTAACAAATTAATCATCTTCACACAACACCCAGTATAGCAAAACACTATTACACTGCTTTGTCTTAGTGAGCAAAACAGAAATCCACATGATCACGTAATGAAGCACAAGTGAGATACAAAGCACTGAGCATATTATTTGATATTTCTCTGCAGAGAGCATGTGTGCTCAGTTGTCTTCCAACCAACGAAGCGGGGTTTTTGCATCTGACTTAGGTTATCCTATAACACTGCATAATTCTAACAGCAAACTTGAGATTCAAATAGGCAAGCAAGGAACTGGACCATTTCCCAGAAAGTTCTCTGAAAGCAATCTATCCTTCTTAGCAACCAGGAGATGAATATGGTGGATTAAAGAATTAGATAATAAAACAAAAGCCTAATCAGAAATACTATTGCCAGCATTTTACTGGCACGGGGCCCATGGGAATAAAATTTAAAATTAAAAAAATCCTCTAAAATTATTTTAATTTTTCACAAAGTTAACTCAAGGAATTGAAAAGCAGAGGTTGAGAGACTCAGAAAGTTAACAACCCTAAATTCTTTTAAGATTCTTTTAAGATTCCCTTCAGGCAGAATCAATATGTCAAACCTTCTTCAAGTCTATACAGATTTGTGGTCACTGCTAATGCTTTGGAACTAAGGCACCAAAAATGCTTATGGTTCTGTAGCACCAGGTAAGCAACAATATTTCAGGAAGATACGAAAAAACATATGAAATAATTAAATTTCCAATTATTTTTTGCATCAAATATGTTATCTATACTAATTTTTGCAGAGTAAATCTGGAAAATTAGGGGGGATTCTTGTTTCTTACACATTTTCAAAGCTTTGTAGACACCTTATAATTTTTCCCACACCAGCTCATACATTTGCAAAGGTTTCTGCATTTAGCATTGTCTTTATACTTAACTAATATGCTGTTTACTTGACTTTTCATATAATTAATAAAGATGTTAAGGAAAATGCACTTAATATTTGCCTCCATAGTACTATTGGACATCTCTTCACAATACATTGCTTTTCCATTTATGAATTTGTAAGGATGTCTTTTCTGTACAAACCAATTTGGAGTTGGGACCTTAGTGAAAACCCAGATTTTCATTCAGAATGAACCTGTCTGACTGCAACATGTTTCATGAGCTACCATAATTCACCTATAATAAGACTATATGGTAGAGACAAGATTAAGTGTTTAATCAACTGCTCTTGAAGAAATTTACTCCTGATTACTTCAGGAACTTGGCAGGGCAATCTGAGAGATGCTGAAGATTATTTTCATCAATTCATAAAAGTTGACTAAGATCTATGAAGTTTAAAGTTTTGAGAGCTGGAGGGAGAGAGGTGTGGAAACCCCAGTATCATTCCTTCATCTGCAAAATACATTGCAACAAATAATAAAGCAAGTTTCTTATTTATATCATACCTGCTTACACAGTTCAGAGTGGATTTGCCAAAAGCATTTACATTTCTTCTCGAGTATGAAAACAGTGAGAACATAAGCATGAGTAAGCATGTGAGAGGTATTGCAATGGCTTTTCCTGCACAGAAAACAACTAGAATGAAAACACAAGCAGACCAGGCTAAATACATGCAAGTAAAATCTAAGCTGAGGTACTACCAGGTTTGGGGCTGTAGTGGTTTGGACTTTGTTTTCCCCCAGAGGCTAAGAAAAGTGGTAGACCGCAAGGGGTGGAAACCCCTGGAAGTTTTGAAGTTTTATCCAATGGGCGCTCCTGCAAAAAATGTAAACATATCACAAGCTCACCGGAAGAGATGAGTTGTAGTTTGCTTGTTGTTGAGGAGAGGTGGCCATGTTGTAGAGCCACGAGGAAGGGGCTCTGAGCCCCTTGGGCCCTCTGGGGCCTCCCAGCCCCTGGCTGGGGGGACTGCAAAGACCTGGAACAGTGCTAGACTGGACTAAGTGTCTGTAGTTAAGCCGGGAGATGTTTTCTCCATGGGTGCAGAGCAGCAGCCGGCACTGACCAGAGAAACGGTGGCAGAGAGCCAGGATAGATAAAGACCTGAACCGGAGGAGCAGCAGAAACAACATGCAACACCTCAGAGAAGACTCCTGGAAAAGGAGAGAGAGAGAGAGCCAGCAGCTGAGAGACAGAGTTCTGGGGGTAAGGCTGATATCAGATTCTCCCCCAAAAGTCCTTTGAGATCCCTCTGAGAAAAGAGGGAGATGGACTCCTATTAGACATGCAGCACCGGAGAGAGAGAGAGGAGCTAAGAAGCTCAAAAGACGTCCTGGAGCTGGACCGGGACGGCCAGATGGAATGCGAGGGGAGTTGACCTTGGCTTCCCCCTCTCGCACTGCTGCCACGGTGGCAGCCTGAGAGACAGGGCACAGAGACCCTACAAGCTTGAATCTCCTGGAGATACCAGACCGTCACAAAGACCCCCCTGTGTCTTCGTGATATGACGTGGTGATACGACCTTGTCTGGGGTTACGAAGCCCACGGAAGACCCCTTTGCCTGCGTCAAGGGGGCCGAGGGAGCTTGGATACCTCCCTCGTGAGTGCTGGCAGAAATCCAGCTATCAGCTGCTGCATGTGGAGAGGACAGACAGACTGCTGCCTTAGAAGATGCTGCTGCTTAAGGACTGGAAGGGGTCTGTCCTTCTTTCCCTCCTGGACTTTTATTTGGAGGAGAGAAGAGATCTGATCCATTGTAAATACATATGTCATGGTAGAGATAGTTGTGATCGTGTGTATAATGTGATATGGTATTTATTTGTACAGTCATTGTAATATATTCCCTTTCCCCCACTTTGAGTCTGGTGTGTTTTGCCTGGAAAAACCCATCTCACATTAGGTTGAGATGTGGGAGGGGGGAATGGAGCTAGGGAATTGGATTTTGGGGCTATCTCAAACCATGACAGGGGCATCATACGTTGACAAACTTCTAGTCTGCTCATGGGCAAATACATAAGACAGCAAGCAGATGATTCCAAAATCTAAAAAAATCTCCTGTTCGGTGGTTGTTTCCTATGATCCTGATGTATTACAGTACTTCATTTCCAATTAAAATAATGGAGACTAATGATTTACAGAGGCACCTAATAGCTAGAAAAGAACAAATGATTTTAACACCTACACTGTTACATTGAGTCCTATCTGTTGTGTGTCACATGCACACAATCAGCCTTACTGAAAACAATCTAACATAACACCAAGAAAGG